AATTAGATTAGTGTGAACTTCTCCGGGGCAGGAGATGATGAAAAGAAAACTCTTCTATTTCTTCGCGGCTATATTCCTGTACATTATCGTCATTGAATCGCACGAAACAGACAGAGCGCTTTAACGACGCGGTTCGAGAGTTTAATCAATGGGCGGCGTTCGCGGATTGGAAGGCACTTAGGCATAGGGTCGGTAAATAATTTTTTATTTATTTATTTATTGTGAGAGAATTGAAATCACTTTATCAAAGTTAAGAAGGAACCAACTAAATATAATGCATTCAACGGTGTATTGAAACAATTTCTTCCTTTTTGATTCCTTAATAAATTTACTAAATTGGTGACCCCGACGACATTTAAGCTTTACCATTATATAAAACGTACCAAATTGATTGGCTTTATTGATTAATGTTAGTACATCTAAAACCAATGCTGATTCAGACCGGTACAAATTGATATTGGGTGGCCCCCAAATATTTTGTTCAAGTTGTATAAGAATGGTACCGTAATTCTAAAGAGAAAAATATAAAAACTTATTTAAAAGCACTAATATTAAGTGATATAAACAATGTTCAAAAAAATTGTTCGCTTCCATTGATATCTTATCGATATCATTCCTAAGTTTTATATTGTTTTTAAAAAAGTGGAGCTAGCCGTGGAGTAGAGGTAAAGACCGTGGTCTAGCAATCTCTAATCTCGGTTTCGATCCAAAACTCAGGCAACTTGATATCAAGCACTTTGATATCGGCTTTTCACTCGAAATCATGCATATAAAATCCATCCTAAGCGTTTCAGGTTTTTTTTTCTTTATTTATTATAGACAATCAGAAATACAAATTTCTATGAGCCTATGTAATCCATTAAATATGTCATTTAGAGGTCTCCTCCACTGAAGATGTGGAGGAGACCTCTGTAGATAATCTATGTTAACAATAAATCAATGTTAACAAAGTAAATCTATGTTCATAAATAATCTAGTTAAATAAATAATATATGTTAATAATATAAACAGAGCTTAAATTAAGTTAGTAGATCTTCTGACCATTTTCTTTTGAGCCTTCTAGTTGGATCATGATTATGGATCAATTGCATAGCTGGATTTGGATGTTGGTCTAATCTCATATGGTATGAATTGCTTCTTTTCTGAATTACTTTTTTTACGGTCAGCATGTTTAAATCTAAATGAATAGTGTTATTGGTAACGTACCATGGTGCAGTAACTATTGCTCTTAAAATTTTATTTTGAGTTTGTTGGATAATATTTATGTTGGACGTACTTGCACATCCCCATAGTTGAATACCATAGATCCATATTGGTATAATTACTGACTTATAAATTAGTGATTTATTGATGTATGACATTTTAGATTTTCTTTCTATTAGCCAGTAAAGTTGTCTAAATTTGTTCATAATTTGCTTCCTCTTCTGTTTTATGTGGATACCTTTCAGGGGTATTGCTGCATAAAAAAATATGAAGTCAACTAATGTTAATAATAAGTCACAACAAGGAGGCAACTTGGTTACTTTCTATATAAGCAATACGTGAATTAAAAAAAAAACAAGATTTTGTAATCATTAATGATATTAGCTACCTAATCTATGCAAAATATAAATTTGATGGGCACATGCTAACTTAAAAATAACAATACATCTTATGAAACAATTAAATTACGTATACCTAAGTATCATAAAAAAGTCTCGAGAATTTTTAAACTACAGTGCTCACATCCAAAAAAACAACAACCAAAAAAAAATATCCTCGTGAAAATCAAGGTGGTGGCTGGTAATGCATTTTTTACCTCTACTTCCAAATATTGTTATTAAAATATTCTTTGCCTTTTTAATAAAATTAATTAATAAAATTATTAAAATAATCTTAACATTTGTCTTTTTATATCTTCGAACTCTAGATAAGGTTTTTCAGATTTTGTTTTATATGTTAATTTTGATTTACTAGTGTAATGATAAATCTATGCTTGCAATTTTTTATATTTCAATAATTGAAATCATAGAAACTAATGATAATTATACAGACTTTTATATAACGTGAGTATTAAAAACATACGATTATTTGATAATGATAGTTTATTAATGCAGAAGAAAAAACTGTTCTGCAATTAAAATGCTTTCAACATTTGGCTTTATTCGAATTTAAATAGATCTTGGTTGAGCAATATGCTCTGAATGACGAAACTAAAATATTAGTTATGTGAATATATCTATCTATGTAATCTCATTTTATTCTTCGTTTAAAATGGGTTTTGGAATTATCCAAAGATATAAGTTCCTTATGAAAATATTTACTAGCTCGTTGTTTATCTGCGGTTGCTTTACTAGAGGCGACCGCAAACGTATCTCAGCCGCGTGTCGTCTCTTAATCTTTTGCAACTCATCAGAAAGTTACCGAGCGAATTCGCTTCTCTGTATTATACGTACATCTGTATATTCGTGGGTATATGAAAGGAAGAAGAAAATTCGCAATTTATCGCATTTAATTAAATTGCTGCTAAAGTCTCTCTCAGACGCCACGACCCGTTCAAATGGTAATTAAAAATATTATGTATTCAATTAGTGCGCATCGCATATACAAAAACTGTTCGGATGCAAGGCGGCTACGTGCACTATGGATGCACCTCGCGTCAAAGGAACGTTAAGTTGAGGTTGTGAATTAATATAATTACACTACCGCTAGCTTTTAATTTTAAGCATTTTTTCTATGTTTTCTATCTTTCATAAAAATGAAAATGGAATCAAATTACGCTCGTTGCTTTGAGATATTTCGTTCAATTCGACAGACAACGTAATATATAAAAGTAATTGCAATGCCTTATAGTGGTAATATTAATAATAAAATATATTTTGTTAATACACTCTGTAACTGCAAGTTATCGTAATGTGTATTGGCATACTTTTTATGTTTTATGTGCATATACTACTAATTAGTAGTACTTTTAAAACATATATTAATATATGCTTTAAGTAAGTAAGTCAATACCATATATCTGCCCGTTTAATTTGCATCTTTTTATGTTGCTTATGTGGTTTCAGACATAGAAATAGGTCAGAAATTTGGCCAAATGGAAACGCTTATATGCACTTTAAGCAATTGTATTAAATAATTGCATTATTTAGTCATTATTTAGTGTTCTTTTTTGCAAAAAGTTAAATCTATTTGTAGGGAAGCTAGAGGATTGTTGTAACAATTTTTATTATTTTATTATATCTTGAGATCAATTGATTATTTTTCTTTAAAATAAAGATGGATGATTGTTGATATTAATCCTCTACCAAATTAAGTAAAAATAATTCCACAACCGTTATTCACTATCTTACAGGAAAAAATTCTAGAAAAAGTGCGGTGTTACAACTTACCCCGTGTTTTGGGCTAATAGTAACATCCGACAAAGCAAGTAGAATCGTTAAAAACGGCAATAATACTCTGTTAATTTAGTTTTTACTCATATTTTATGAAAATATACTTGTTTCTAAGTATTTCTTTTCATACATCAACACAAATGTCTCCTGTAATATACATTTTCATTATAAATCAACGAAAACTACAATTACTATTGTAATACAAAGATGTAGTGTCAATTCACATATGCTCACATTTTATAAACTATATATTTTATTCAATTTTCTTCACTTGAAAAGAGGTTTTGTTTCAACTAACCCCAAGCGTGATTTTTTTACATCAATCAAGTTTATTATTTATACTTTTAACAATCAAAAAATGGTTACACATTATCAAAGATTGATGGATTAATAAAAATATATAGAATTTAAAGTTAATCGATAATAATAATGCAATCCGAAGTTTTGTGATAGGACAATTCTGTGAAAAAATGACAGACCTTATAGTTCTGATTTTTGCGTCAGCCTGCGGAAAAGTACTTATGGCAATATTAAGGATCATTTATATGTTCTATCAAGACATTTATTGAAAAACGCCTGTTAATTAATAATTTTAATTTCTACTGAAAATCAAGGAGATGAATTGATTATTAAGCAGACAATCCAAATTATCCGTGGAAAATAAACTACTATTATATAAAGACGTCATCAAACCAATATGGACCTACGGGCTAGAGGTACGAGGATGCGCCTCTAAATGGAATTTGCATATTAAACAGAGATTACAAACTAAATTATTGAGAACAATTTTCAACTCTTCCTGGTATGTCACTAATCAAACTGTAAACGACGATCTAAAAATGTTGACTGTGTTCGAAACCTTCAAAGAATTGTCATCAAAATACTGCAACAGATTAGAAATGATATTGACTAAAACACAAGATTACAGAGAAAATGGCCTCCTGATAACATGTAACGACAACCATTAAAGATATACATTTTAAGCAATATAGTGTAAGATAGATCCGTGGATCCTATTTTATTTCAACATTCACTTAATCCTCACTTTAGCTTATATAAGTATTGTAATTTTTCCGATATTTTTGATAATAAAATTCTGAATGCAATTTGAATATTTATATAGACAGTGAAAACTATATTGAAAAATATTTTAGAATAGTTTAAGATTTCTATATCGAAAATATTGATAGTATTACGGTTAAATGAATAGCTAAATTTATAATAAATATAGCATATTCGTAAGAAGTCGGAGGTTGTGAAATTATCTATTTCATCTCACTTAAACCCATATTACCTACAATGTTATAAGAACAGTGTGTATGTAAAATAATTTTTGTGTCATTGCAATTTCGACAAATATACAATATAAATTATAGTAATTGCATATCAACTAAAAATTTCATATAAACTACTAAGTTATTTAGTTATATCTAATAATAGTGCATAACCAAACAATTCCAGAAATAACGTAAAATATGAACAATGATGACAAATATTCTGATTATTAACTTGCTTCAGAATTACTACATAGAAAACATTTTATAAATTCCGATCTAATTTTGGGCTGTTCAAACAGTTTCAGTTACCTGGATATTGATTAATGGATGTTTATTCTTCATTTCACAGTTGACATTTGACACGTTTACCGTTGGCCGTTTTGCCGGTCTGGGAGCAGACGGCTGCCCAGACGGCCACATGTCAGTCGCCGAGGAGGGTCGGCCCGAGTCCGGGGGCCGATGGTGCGGCGCTGCTTGGGGGTACACGGTGTACTATAGTGAGACGCCGTCAGTCAACGTGACATTGCGCCTGGACAGACTAGCCCAACAGGTAGATTTATGTTTTTATTTATTACTTTATTCTTAATAGGTTTAAAGTATTTTATATTTATCTCTGTATACCATTGCTTTTAAAGAAACAAAATTTTGGAGTACGGTTGTGACATGTATTTCTTGTCCTCTTCGGGTAATTTAACCCTTTCCACTTGCGATATCTGGAATTATATGTATTTTGCCAAGCTCCGATTTGCGGCTCCGAGTCGAAAGGGTTAAACAGATAAAATAATGTAGCATAACTAAGACAAGATACAAAAGAAAAGAAAAACAAAAATTCAATATATACAAAAAAGATTTTGCAAATAAATATTGATAACTTTGTTTGATATATTTTATATTGTGTCATATATTGTTACATTTATTCATAAGCTTCATTAAGGGCACTATTTAAGTATTTCCATGTTAACAAATGTTCAAATTATCATTTATTTTACTTTTCTCTCAGCAAACTGATAAATTAGCAAAATTATGGCTGACCAAAAAAAGTGGCGCATCCCTTTCCAATCTTCCCTACCTATTTATAAATTATATTATTATTATAATATATACCTATTATAGTATTATATATTATTATTGTAACTTTTAAATGGGCATATGTTCATTGGCCATGGATAAAATAGCTTGTTATATCACCGGTCCCTTATGTTATTTAACCGCATAACTTTGGTGTTAATTCGAGCGTTTTTTTTAATCTCTTTGCTAAAAACTACCTTCAAATTCTATAAATGTCAACATGTAATGGAACAAAATGCATAGACCTTAAAATATGTATTATGAGATCTATGACAAAATGACAAATATAAACGATTTGACACAGCATTTATTATTATCTAGTAATGTGCCAACTCAAATCAAGTGATTCGAATCATTAAAATCAACCCTTAACAATCTAATTTGAATCACATTTAATTGGATTTAAATCAACTCGTGTCAACCCAAGAATTATTTACTGTGATACAATATGTATGAATATTAACATATGTTTATTTAATATAAATAAAAAATAAAAAAATAATCAAATCGTGCGGGCCATCCGAATTCAATTGTGACGGGATTAGTTCATGACTCACACACCGGAGGTTCGGTGTTCGAATCCCTGGCAAAAATTAGAAATAATGTTAAAAATAGTTTCAAATAATATTAAAAATAGTTCAATCGTGTATAAAATTTGGGAATTAGAATTAAAATGAATGGAAATAAGAATAGAATTAATAAAGACCTAAGAAGAGTGTAGAAGATACAATGATAGATAGTAAAGAAGAAAGAAAAAAGAAGAATGAAGTCACGTTGAAGACTACATAGAATAGTATAGAATATAAAATAGAAAGAAGAAATAGGATTTACTATATAGGGAAAATGGATCTATTATATAGGGAAAATGGTATGAACCTGAAGATTGTATTGAAATTGAAATATGTTGTATGTGTCTAAATGCTCGAGTAAGCGAAGCCAATAAAGATAAATAAATAAAAAAAAATCCGAATTCAATAGACTCATTTGAGTTACTCACATAATTTAATTTTAATTGAATCATTCAAAAATCGAGCTATTCAACTTCTGCACAGATTATTGTTTTTTTTTTACATTTGTTTATTAGACAGAACGTCGAAAGCGAATTTGTTTATAAAATAAAAAACCCAATTTTAATAGGCCCAAGATTCCAAATATTTTTCTATATGCTTTATTATTATTGAAGTGTTTGGCTATATATTCTTGTAGATTAATTTGAAAATACATTTTAACCATCTTCAAAATTGAATCATTTTTAATTAATGTTATAATATATTTTTGATAGCAAATTATATTTTTAATAAAGATTTTGATCACATTAATTTACTAAATAAATACATCGATTATATCTTAGCTTTTTTTTGTTGCTTGATTTGAATTATGACTCGTTTCACTAATTTTATCCGAGATTTAGCCCCCTTATCTAATTATGAGCAGAATATTTAATCCAATTATTAATCGAAATTTTGTAATTTTGTTTTCAAATTTAAAAATGATATACATCTCAATATTATATTACTAATTGAAAAAAATTGATAGTTATTAGTTTATTAGTTTTATTTGTATTTATATGTTATGGACGTGTAGATAAATATGCATTTTTTTTTGAATTTGTTTGATTATTTTTTAGTGTATTAGGATAATAAAAATGAATTTATATCAATATTGTTTGAATCATGATAGTGTTCATAGCTAAAAATACTACCTAAATTTAATTGGATTTTCGGCAGTACATGTTGTAATAGATAAAACTTCAAACAGCTATGAATTTCATTCAATAATTTGTTTTATTTTTTTTACTGTATTTACAATAAATAACTTTGGTATGATTAATTTACACTATATTTATTGGCTGGTCATTCAACATATGTTCATGTTTTGTTGCCATTAATATAATTTGATTATTTTATTTTAAAATTAAAATTAAAAGTCAAATAACGATATATGAAGAAGAATATAGTAATTTCATTTATGGTCAGTATAGGAACTTTTGTTAATTAAAATTTTAAGTCGAATTGAGATTACCGTGAACTACTAAACCTAATTACAATTCACCGTAGAAATATTTTAAACAAATAAAGGAAATTTTAATTGCTTCAAGGACTTGATTTTTATTCATTTGAATTCAGCTAACCAATGGCGTTAATTTAAAACCAGCATAAATAATATTCATATATGAACTTTTAATTTGAAATTTTCAACGCATTAATTTTGTCACTTTTTTGTCCTAATATATTAATATTGGCAAAGTACAATTTTAAGGTCAGCACAGTAATTGAATTACCTAACAGAAAAATCAGTTAGGAAGCAATATTTCATGACAGTTTCAAATTTACATATTTTCCGTGCTACATACAAATAATTTTCATGTACATTTAATTTATGATCCCAATGCGTAATTTTATCATTTAAGCTCGGGAAATCGTTCAACATACATAGCAAATGTGGTAAATTTTGTTGGATATCAAATTTCATGATACATAAATATAAATATCATTGATATTAAGCGCAACAAATTTAATTTATTTGTAACTGAACTTTTGTTAGGTTTGAAACTAATAATTAAGTTTATTTCTCTGGAAATAATTAGTCGTGGAATGGGTTAATAGTTTTAAATAGCTCATGCATAGGTAAAATTTATATATATATATATATATATATATATATATATATTTAATGCCTTATGAAATATTTGTTTTTGAAAATTATATATATATATATATATATATATAACTGTGTGTGTGCTTTTATTTTTATGGTAAAAACTAATAATTCTGATAGACAGAAAATGTTACATATTACATTCAATCAAACAAATCAACAAAACTGATTTTATATTAAAATATTTAATAGTATCACGACAGAAAATGAAATATTTTAAATTATTTATTTTATTTAGAATAATTTAAGCTTCTTTTATATACCATAATAAATACTAAATTTATTTGATTATGATTATAAAATTTTGTCATTATTTATTAATATAAAATATTTGAATAGGTAGGGAAGACAGGCTACGGTAGTGGCATAATTATAACAATATATAACTACCAAAATCTTTTGATTTTTTGTATTGAATTTTTCTTTCAACTTTTCTTTCGTAGTTTGTCTTAGTTTTTTTTTTTCTGTTTTATTTAGCAATCAGAAATACATACGGATTCCTTTGACGTTTTGTATTGACGTTTCAATCTTCTTACGCCAAATGGTTGGGTAATGGTTTGTATTAGTTAAGTTAGATTTTTTTATCTGTATAAATTTATCGAAAAAGGACAAGAAATACATGTCACAACATATACATTAATGTAACATATAAATGTCACATAAAACCAAACTAATTACTTGTAATTAACTACTATGGTTCAACTTACGACAAAGTAATAAACAAAATGATCTATCCTGTTTACAAGTATCAGTTAATTTTAACAGAAATCGAACAAAACACTTAATTTTGCTCTATTAATGCAGGGTGCATACTCAATGCGATGATGGAAAGTTGTTTAAACCAAACATATTTCATATCCTCTTTGGACCTATCTCAAATTAGTATTGTTCAGCTGTTATGACTGTGCTTTATCGTACCCTGGTACAACCGTACCCAGTCTTCGCTATATATAATTAAAAAAAATATACAAATAAATTTTAATTAGAAATAAAAAGCAATACTATAATAAATAAAATATGCAATGCGTATTAATATACATTTAATATAGTATTCCTAAAGTCAACAATTGCTTTTTAGTTAAAAGTAGTATGGTCTCAATTATCAAAAGCTGTGTATGCCACAGCAATATTTTATATCAGTAACATTATTTTATCTGTGGCTTTCGCTCATGCAATATTTCAAATTCAGGGCGCGTCGGATATAACTTTGATCTAAAGTTATCTTACAAGTTGTTGCGTAAGGATGACATACGACTTCGCAACGAAGGTGGAGCTTGGACCGGCGAATTGGTTCCGGGCACTTACTGTTCGAGAGAACTGCACGATTGCGACATAAGGTGAATATAAACTTTCATTTAAAATTGAATCATTTTATTTCGAATAACTATAGAAAAGTTTTAGTATAGAAGGCGCAGTGATTGCATATATTAACTGGAAAACTGTTGTGCTTGATAATAAACAATAAGTGTCTAGTATCTATACGTATATACAATTTATTATTAATATTTATTATTTTTCGATGAAATTTCTTACATATTATTTATTTAGTTCCAATTTTTATAGTTAACTTGATTGCCACTGAATGAAGGCTAAGATGCTAGCCGAAACGTATGAATTTTAAATAAATAAATTTCTAAAAACTCTCATACTATTTTTATTGATATGACACCCGACTTTTTAACTCAAATTAAATATATTATATGAACATCAATTCAAGACTATTCAAATATATATATATATATATATATATATATATATATAAATCTTCTGTACGTGTGTTGTCACTCAATTGCTTCTAAATTCCAAAATTTTGATAAACTATTT